CGCCGTGTACGACATAAAATCGTTTCGAGGTCAGTAAACACAACCAGAATTCATACATAAGGCACACGGGATTATAATCTGTCGATTTTCAGAAAAATCAAAGGATTGATTTTAAGTGTGCCGTATTTTCCAAAAAACACGGTACTACCGCCGGCCCGCTAGCATGCTCTACCAGAAATAGTGCTTTGTTGTGTATCTGACGGATGAAAGCTAAACCAGTTCCACACCACTGAAGTTGCAGCATTTTTTTTCAAACCAATTCTGGTTCATCCGTTTCATTCGACGATCCAGTTTCGCTCTTCTCATTCTGCGTCGCCGCCGTGTGTTTATGTAAACATAGGCACTGCGCATGCGCGTTTTACCCATATTCTATCGCGATATTTCATTTTCTATCTTTGCCCAAAATTACACCGGTATTACCGTGAACGGTATGATATAGCCCAGCCCTATTGTGCTGTCTTTTTTTTTTTTTGTTTGTTTTTTTTAAGGAAATGGCCACAAGTAGCATAATGGATGGACTTTTGTTAACTACTAATGAAAAAGGAGGCCCTTTGCCTTAATCATTTACAGAGCAGTTGTGCTGAGGATTATCATGGCCTGAAGAGGTGAGGATTATGGGAAGGTGGAGGGAGACTGTAACCTAAACTGTGCAAAAGCTTACAAAAAGAACAGTTTTTTAGAATCGGAGTACTGTGAAAATGTTGTTCGTATTTAATTTTTTTTAAGTATCACATTTTGAGCCAAGACAAAGCCTGATCAGGTGCATCCAACTTTAATCCAGCCCCTTCAAGATCTTTCACAGTGGTGTTAAAATATTAGAATTTATTTTGTTTAAATTTCGCTTGTTTATTATTGAATCTGCAGTGCTGTGTTTTGTCAGTATAAACAGCATTCTTCTTGGGTCAGAAAAAGGACTTTGTTTGTGCATCTGTGTTTTATCAGAATAGATGAAGCCACAAGGATGAGACCTAATGTACACTGATCAGCCACAACATTAAAACCACTGATGTATGAATGGAGTTCAATATTCTGCTTGGATGTGGTTGTAACTTTGACACAATCCAAGCCAACTAAACATGGCTGTGGTTCTAAAGACATGCCCCCACAAGCCTCCCACAAGCACTTGCAGTGCAAGATCTCTTCAGAAACCACTCAAGGAACACAAGACAGTGCCACAGGTGATGATCCAGCCTACAAAGGCCAAAGATCCTAGTCTCATCTGTAGGGTGACACCTGATTGAGCCTGATCTACAGAGGTCCTACTGGCAAACCCAGAAGAACTAAAGGATGCCAGTCCAAGATCAACGGTGTCCGCACCTTCCCATATCCTAACTATTTTTCTAGCAGAGAGACTAACCAGTATTATGCAACTGGTTTTAATGCTGTGGCTGCTTAGTATTTGAAATGTCAGTTTAGTTGGAGACAGATGTCAGACTGTTGCAAAGTTCTGTGATTATAAGCCAAACTGCAACATATGGCAACTTTGTCTTCTCTGTGTGCCTCCGCCCTTTCATTTTTTATTTTATTTTTAGTGTCTCTTCCGCTGTTTTTAGTATTGAATACATCTTGTGTCTCACATGATCTCGCTAGTAATTATTGCATTACACGAGTAATCCTGAGGATTCATTCCAGATCAGATTAGACCTGAGAAGTTAATATGACTGTTTGGATATTGGATGTCTCGTGTTAGCTGTCTGCATTATTTTCTGGTGCAATAACACACTGTAGGTGTTTGAATTTAAGCCAGGTGGATTAGATGAGACTGTGTCTCGTATCATTTTTCTCACCCTTACCTTTAGAACCTTCAATTTGGTCAGAGGAAGGAAACGTGATGCATTTGCCTGTAGTAGCTCTGCCTTTCTAATCCTGCATCTCTGTCTATAGAAGTTCATACACTCCTAATAATATCTCAAACTTCAAAAGTGTTATTAGAGACCACTTGTGTTTTACTTTTTTCTCTGAGTATGAACTGGACATGTGTCCTTTTGCAATAATGAAATGCCCCTTATTCTGGAAAATAACTCATTTGTCCACTCGCTCTACCTACTAGTGGTAATTAGACAGCACTAGAAATTGGTTCTTTTAGAAAAGGGCCTGAATCATGGGCTCGATTGGCCAGCTTGGATTATCTAAGCAATAAATCCTTTAAAAAGCTTAATGTAGATGAAGTTTGGCAAATGTGATCTAATAATCTCCTCATTTGTGTTTTATTTTTTTCAGCATGCAAATGAGGACGTTGAGCGAATGCTGCTAGGCAACAAGTGTGACATGGATGACAAGAGGGTCGTACCAAAAGCCAAGGGAGAGCAGGTGAGGTGGTGCGGTCCTGTGCAGCTGTGAAGGGCCATTCGTCAATGAGGTCCTGCAAGGCTGCAGCAACGATTGGTTGATTTGTTGCTGCAGCCTTTCACTTTGAGTTTGCAGCCACTCATAAAGTCTTCTGTAGTTAATTGTGGCTCATTTGTGCCCATCTGACATTTTCATGAGGTTACTTTCTGCTGAAGTTAATAGGAGTTAAATGCCGTGCTAGAACAGGTGATAGTAGCTTTGTTTGTGTATTTACAGCTCAAATGTTCCACTACAATCTGTACCTCTCTACAGAGCTGCTGTTTGTCTTTCTGCACAAACTGAACTTGTTACCATTGTTTAGCATTTTTAGTAATAATAACTAACAGTGGAGAGATGAACTAAAAGGAAAGAAATGAGATGCTTTATTTTCTCATGAACTGTAGTTAAGGTTCCCTTGTGGAAAGACAAAGAAACAATAACCTAGTTTTCTCAGTTTCTTTCGCAGTTCAAATGCCAAAGATTGAATTATTTGTACTAAGTAGGTAAGCAAGCCATTTAAACTATTGTGAAATTTCATTTAGCTTCCAAACATGAGACTAAAACTGTAGGTAAAAAAAAATAGTGTTCAGTTGCATTCATTCTTTAAACAGAAAATTGTTGTTGAATATGAAAAAACCCCTCAATAACCTGATATTCTTAGTATAACAGCTTGGTATCTACACTCATTTTAACTGCCCGTATGCCATCACTTCACAATTTTAATTCGGGAAATCAATAAAATTGTAACTTTTTTCCAATAGAAAATAAATCTGTCCATGTGACTGTGTCTTATGTGTCCATAGTTCTTAACTTACTTTCTGACAGATACCACCTGTATCATGTAAAAGTCTGAAATTTATAATAGCCACAATTAAACACTTTTAGACAGTAAAAATAAATTAATGCAACCAAACTGTAACAAAATTGATCTAAAAGGAAAAATAAAATAAAAACTATAGCAGCTCAGAGTTAAACCCCTATTTTGCATTTGTGAGCAGTACTTGGATGTCTGTCAGTTTGGCAGTTGGATATCGAGTTGATTTAGAGTTTAGTTTCTGGATTTAATGTTCAGAGTTCAGCCCAAGTTCATCCTTAACAGAGCTCTAATAAGCCAGAACGAGTGGAAACACCTGTGTGAGACTGCAGGGCCTTTAACAGATTTGGTTTAAAGTACCAAAGCAAACTGGTAGTGACAATATCAGCGCACAAACACACACAGTTCCACTCAGGCAGGTGTGTGTGATACTTGATCTCTGTTCTCCTCAGGAGATCAGCAGCTTTATTTTTGGACTGGACCACATGGACAGTTTCTGACTGGGTTTGTTTTCCTCCCCACAGATTGCGAGGGAGCACGGCATTAGGTTTTTTGAGACGAGCGCTAAGGCCAACATCAACATCGAGAAAGCTTTCCTCACGTTAGCAGAAGACATCCTCAGAAAGGTGTGTGCTCAATGTCTCACGTGGAACATGTGTTCAGTAATTTATTTATTTATTTTTTCTACTAAGGTGTCACCCAGTTATGAAACCTGATGGCAACCATTCATAGCTGTCATTCTCACCCTTTCTTTATTCATACTGAAGCTAAAAAACCGGCATCATGGGAAATATTCCAGTATTTCATTAAATTAATGTTTCAAAGACGGTTTTGGCTTTTATCCCCCTTGAATTACAGGCTGATCCTGATATGTCTGAGTATTTGTTTGATTTTTGGAAACTGGGGAAGCATCTGAACTAGGAAATGGTTAATGATGCCAGCCTTAGTAGGGAGCGATTGTGGACATAAACCAGAGTGGTTGCTTCACATTTTTCCTGGTGCATATTTAATAAGGTGTGTGTGTGTGTGTGTGTGTGTGTCTTTGACAGACGCCTGTAAAAGAGCCCAACAGTGAAAACGTCGACATCAGCAACGGAGGAGGAGTCACAGGCTGGAGGAGCAAGTGCTGCAGTTGAACAACTCCTGTTTCAGTCACACTAACGCACACAAACACACTCAGACACACACAATCTCTCTCTCTCTCTCTCTCTCTCTCTCTCTCTCTCTCTCTCACACACTGCTAACTCTAACTCGCCCTCTAACCTGTCTCATGAGTTTTCTTGCACACTGACACTCTGTCTCTTTATCAGAATAAAAACAATAAACCACTTCATGTCTAATCCCCTCGTTCCCACTTCTCCACCCAACTATGTTCCTCCACTCTGCATCTAATGATCATTTTTATTTCTGATAAAAAGAGAAATCCAGTCACATTTCTTGTCATTTGTTTTAAAGTTTAAGTAAAAAAAAAAAAAGGAAAAAAATGTGTGGAAAAGACAAGCTCATATTTTTAATATTTCCTTTGCACAGGCTCACCTGGTTGGACACCCTCACACCCCTCCCCCTTTAACCCCACCCACCCACAGCACTCACCTTCAGTCTGAGGAAATCAAAGTTAAAACGAGATTAAATAGGATTAACATTTTGTACATTTAGTGCGGTTTCTGTTGTCTAACCATATTTGGTCATTTACAATTTGTTACCAAGTGACAGAGGCGTGGCTAGCTCCTTTTGTATGTGGGGGTTTATTTTGTCCTGTGCCTTATATGGAAGACAGGGGCGGGGCTGTGTGGTGGGCGGAGCCACATTCATTTAATGAAATTACAGTTTAATGTGTCGGTTCAGGCTCTCTTCATGAAGACACTGAACTGAAGCTGAAGCGTTTGAATTTCTCCTCCAGCCAAAAGAACGGCATTATACAGTATGTCCTGTTTGTTGATATTTTATTTTATCTGTATGATTTATTTCACTTTTTATTTCTTTTTTTGTTTTGTTTTGTTTTTCTTCCTGCATGCAGATTTCTTTGGGTTGGAAACGTTTCTGTAACATTGTGTAACTTTTGCCACTGGGTAACTGTGGGCGGGAGGTACAGAAATTTTCTTTGGAAATTCAAACAATTTTGCAGATCCATTAAAAAATAAGCTTGTTTAAGTTAAGTTGTTTGTCCTCAATCATGTGCAGTGTCTAGTTTGATTTTTTAAAACCAGCCTGACACTCGAGGTGTGGGAGGTGTGTGTCACCTGAAGATAGCGCTTCAAAGTTCAGAAAATAAGGGTGCGTCTTCTTTATGCATCAAGCAAAAATTAAATTATATGCAACATTCTCTGACTGGAAGAAATTTGTTTAACATTTAAACCTATTTTCTGCACATTCCAGCACATAAAATAAAATAGTTTTTTGTGTTTACACTCACTCTTTCAAATAAATGCAAGTGAAACACAGCAGAAAATAAATAAAATCAAAGACTAGCGGTCCTGTTGCTCTATTTTCACCTGTATAGCAGGAGTGCCGTAGGCCGAGGTTTGCCCTGGTGCAGGTGTGTCGTAGCGGTCAGTGGAAGGATCTGGGAGTTTCACATTCCCGCGGCAGCGTACTGTCGGTGCTTGCTCGGAAGTTTAGGGGTTTTTTCCCTGTAAAAAGAAGTTTTCTTCCCACGCAGTGAACAGCGGACGCTAATGTTTTTGTCACTTTTTATGGAATCAAAGTCAAAGTAAGGTCAGTGCTTCCACCCTTTAAACGCTGCACGCTCATACTCTCTCCTGCACTCATATATTATCCATTGTTGATCTGCACACAGCTGTTGCCACAAACGTCGCACTCGCTTACGTCATTATCATGAGACACTCTCGCAAGAAAGTCACGGTTTTAGTAACGCAGCGTGCTTACGGGAAAGTAACAGTAATCTAATTACAGTTTTTGCAATAGTAATCCCTTACTTTACTCGTTACTCGAAAAAAGTAATCTGATTACAGTAACGCCTTACTTGTACTGCCCATCTCTGCTTAGTAGTACAAAAACCTAGGGCTAACCCTGAAGTTATCTGGATACAACATAGTCCAGGTATCTAATGCTTTGTTGGTTCTGGACAAACGGAGCCAGGTGAAGGAAACCGAGATCTCCACTGATAAGATCTTTGTTCTTGTAGCTGCAACATTTCAACAATGTGAGAGAAACTCTGTTGCAGGATCAAAAATAAAACCATTTTCCCCAAATGAATGCATTTAAATTCCAGTGGCAATGTGATGCAGTTTGTGCTGCTGTAGCTTTTACAGCTGGGCTGGGGTTGGTGTTTTTGTACACAGCTGTACAAAGAATGAGAAATGATCCCAACAAGGAATCTAGTTGTAGTCTTGAACAGAGATGAGGTCTGCAAAATCTCACAGGGCCGTCAGTATCCCACATCCCACAGACTCATTAAAGGCCTTATTTTGGGATTATGTTCCACAGGTGGCTTCAACATGCCGAACTACTCAAAACTGTTTACCTTTAACCTGCAAAATTGACTCCACTGTTCAGAAAACTGAGATTTTGGCATCTTACAGGAGGAAAAGGGAGGGTGTTCAGTTTGAGGTACGTCTATCAGCTAGCATGTACGATTCAAGCTGCCACTAACTAGGTGTTTAATGTGTGTGTTGCAGTATGTAAACAAAACCTAAAGTCATAACTGTACGTCTTGAGACTAGAATGAGAATATGTAACTCTGAACTGGACTGAAACTTTTAACCACATTTAATAGTGTTTGACAATACACTTAAAAATAACTACACTGTTTTAGGTTGGGTATGAGTTATCCACTGTAAGATGAGCCCAGTGATTTGATCTTATATTTAAATTTTTTTAGATTGTCCTATTTTATGGGGACTATTCACTGGAGTTTTATTTTCACATTCTGTAGTGCAGAAAATGAAGAATAAAATAAACCTAAAAATGTTAGATTTCAGCCAAAAAAAAGTATAAATTTTATTATTTTACTTCACATAGCATTTGTTTTTAGCATATGTTCCCATACACACATGCATACAGTAACTTACTGCTGCATTTTCTTTAGTCACTTCCCTGTTAAACTCAGTGAAGCGCCCTCTGATGGCAACAAATACAAACTTCAACAAATTCAGGGTTGCAAAGTCAGAAAACTCTTTTTTTTAAATTTATTTTTGAAAGCTCTCAGGTAGGGTCGCCACTGGGATGAAAACTATGTACACTTGTCTTTCTTTTGGGACAGCAAAAAAAACATAACTAAAAACATATTTGAGCAGAAAGTTGCTTCAGGTGATTTCAACTTGTTCGTCTTGAGAGAAGTCAAATGTTTTAATATTTAAATATATTTGTCCACAGTGCTGAATTCTAAGTTATACAGTAGAACTATTTATGAAAAATGAAAACATTTTTATACATTTTTTAGATTTAAAGGGTAACACAGCCATTTGAGCATGCCTGAGGAGCTTCTCTTACAAACCTGTTAGCATGGCTGAAATCTCTTTAGCAAATCACTGAAGATCTGATTAGTGCCTTGCTTTGATAATTCTGTATCTGTAAACTCAGTCACAATGCTGCAGTTTTCTAAGCCTATCAGGATTAACATCTACAAGGTTAGGAATAACACATGGGTGCTTCCTTTAGTAGCAGTGTAACTTTAATATAAGGGAGTCAAACAATGCATAAATTTCTTCTTTTTCCATTCGCTGAATATGTTTTGTTGCTTGGCAATCATGAAAGTCTGCCCTTTCTGGCCGATTCATATGAGAAGAAGGAATTTAAATTTAAATACATCACACTTGGTGTGCTTGTAAAACATGTTTTGTTTTTTTACATTCTTTATTCATCCCGGTTTCCACTGTTCTTAAATTTCCCAGCACAACAAATTTACAGAAAAATAAAATTCTCTCATAGAAGGAAAACAAAACCAGTGCAGAATAACAGTGGTCACCAGTAAGTCCATGATAACTACATTCAGAGATCTTTCCTACACGCAGTGAGAGAAAAGCACCGGGAAAAAAAAAAGAAAAAAGGAACGGATATGTGATGAAGAGTCGAACAAAAACTCACCAAAAGATGACCAAGTGCATTTCCGGCTTTAAAAAACCCCCCAACCCCCCCAAAAAACAAAAAAAAAAACCCAAATAAAACAGAAACCCTGACTTTTCTTAGTGTTGTGATTTTTTCCTTAAAAGTGAGTTATACAAAAATGAAAATCCACATATTTAGTGCTTTGGTTGACCAATATGAGTGACATTTAAGGAAAGAAAAAAAAAAAAAAAAAAAAAAAAAAAAAAGCAGCAGTGGACCCCAACGAGGACCTGCCCAGAGGGCGGGGGTGGGAGGGAGAGGGAAAAAGATATTTACATCAACTGTATACAACATAATTTATAAATACATTTTAGATATAAATTAGAAAAATAAAAACAAAAATCTACTGTAGTTCAATCATCAACTGCTACTTATTAAATGCCTGTTTGATTATTAACCCCCTTTATATTTAACCAAAAATAAAGGCACAGCAATAATTAGAGCAATATTTCCCCCTGCAACATTTCTAAGAGTCATAACACTAATTTCCCCACTGCAAACATTAAAATATAAATTAAAATGTTTTTTTTTTTTAACCACTGAATAAAACTCCTGCACAAACAGCATCTACACTAGCATCACATGTTACAACTTATTAAATAAATTAAGGCTTTAAAAAGGGAGAGAGCGCCCCGATTTTGTTTTATTTTCCTCTTCTTCCTGCTTTCCTTTCCTCTTATGAGATTTATGCAGCATATGTCACACTTTAAAAATGGATGCATTTCTGGAAAACATGCCAGGAGAAGGAGAATGACACTGGAGTAGCTGGCCCAGCTCTGACAAAAATCCACCTACCAGCACCTCTGAAACCCACTGGGTTACAGTTCAGGTCCAGATATGTAGTTATTACTTTAACGGGTTAGAAAAACATTCAAAGTGCAGATTCTCAGCCTTAATTTGAGAGTATTTAAAATAGTATTGGAGGTGGTGTTCAGGAATTACAGATCTTTACTCTGTAACATCGATGACGTCGGGTGTGGGTGTTTAATGATGGCGTTAGTCACATTTGTGCACCTGAAAATAGGGCTGCAGTGAGAAAAGAGAAAAAAAAAGTCTGGCTAATGTTAACTAAAGCTAAAATGGGGCACTTTAAACTTAAAAAAGTTTTCTAACTTTTCATTTTATTGAATTTTCTTTTCACCAGTTACAAAACAAGCAGCTGTTGCTAGGTTAGGATCTAACAAAGCCTTAGACTCAAGTCACTCTTCTTTTATCCAACTGAGTGGCATCCCAAATATGACAAGAACCTACATCAATCAGCCACAACATTAACACCATCTGGTGAAGATGTGTCAAAGTAACGTCCAAACAGAAAAGCATAGTATCAACACCTGACTGGTTTTAATTTTTTGTCCCTGGTTTTGTACCTGGTTAGTGCATTTACCACCTCCCTCAATTCAATAAACGGTATCCCACCATGTAAGCTCTATTGACAGATACCTCGCAGCTATTCTCTTTGTGTGTGGATGCCTATCAGTACTCTGAGGTGCATTCCTGCTTGCGGCCATAACCGGTGCAAATACACCGAAGTAGCCTGTGCTGTACATGAACACAACAGGACATGACACAGACCGTTTACTGCGTGCATCTTAAAGTGTGTGTGTGTCTAGAGAGAGAGATCGAGAGAGCGCACTGTGTGAATGTAGGTTGTAGTGTAACAGTGCTTTATAAATAAAGTTGTTAATCCTGAGCCTCAGTGGTGCTGACAGGCAGGTTTTAAGTTTGGACAGAGCTGTTTTTAGAGTTTAAGCTCAGCTAACCGAATGATGGCCAGCTTCCTATGTAGCTCTGTTTGTCATCCTCCGACTCGTGGTAAGAAATCAAAGAATGACATTTCTTAAAGTGTTGAATTGTTCCTTTAGGTTGCGACTGTGGTTTTGTTGTTCGCTTTTAAAATAAACAGTCTGTTAAATGTGACCAAACAAACATACTTCCTATGTTTCAAATGTGATGCCACTGAAAACCCCCTGCGTCTACTCATTATGTACAAGCGTGTCATCGGGCCTCGAGTGCTATACATAGACCAGGTCTCGTCCCTGTAACGCCGAGGAGCTGGCGGCCTCCTGTGCGGCGCCCTCCGAGTCGGCCTCGTCCTCGTAGCCCTCGTACTCGATGGGCTTGGGGCAGCTGTACGGATGGCCGTTGTCGTCAAAGAAGCGCCGGAAGGTAAACTCGTAGAAGGCGTGCTCGGGGTGCTTTCCGTTGCGGAACCAACAGTTTAGCGTGTCGTTATGGCTGTCCTCGTCGTCGCCGTCGCTGCTCCACATTTTATCCGGGTCCACTGGATCGAAGTTGGAGGTGTCCGTGGAGTGGGCGATGGTGGGGATGTATGGTGCCACCTGCTGTCTGAGGTCGCTGGAGAAATCGATGCTTTTGAAGAAAGGATGGGCTTTGATTTCATCCGCGCCGTTCTTACCGAGGCGGTCCTCAGGGCCGCGGCACAGTTTAACGATGAGATCCGATGCCTCTGCGCTGAGCTTGGCCTGCGGGGGAATGTGCAGCGTGCTCTTCCAGTTTATCACCTAGTTCCAAAATTGAAAAACAACATGAAGCAAACAATGACCTGTGTAGATGCTTAGCATTTCACTGCAACTGCCTCGCATACCTTTAGCTGTGTCTCCAGGGGTGTGGTTGCTAAGAAAGGAGGCTGTCCAACAACCATTTCATACAAGATCACTCCTACACTCCACCAATCACAGAGCTGGGTGTATCCTGAAGAGGATTAAAGGAAATTTCACAACAATTTGGGGAGGATTCAGATCTGAAATACAGCTTTTACGCGCACACGCGCACGCACGCGCGCACACACGCACGCACGCACGCACGCACGCACGCACACACACTCTACTCAATGTGTAATATAAATGGGGGTGGGGGAGCCAAAATAGTGTTTATTTCTATCCTGTAAAGCAACTTTTCTTTTTGTAACTTAACTCTTTTACTGATGGCTATTCAAAGGCAGCACACCTTTTTTTTTTTTTTAGCTCTGTGGTTTAATCACTGATCAGCTGTTTAAATAATAATCTGCAGACTAAAACAAGTTAAACTTTACAGAATGAATCATAATTCATTCTGTAAACTTGTGTATAAATACACATAGCATCAAAGGGTGCGGTAGGCCTTCTTATTGTCACAGACAGGATGATAAAATATACATTTGTTCTCACCTGTCGTGCAAGTGTTTATTTCCAGCAACTCTGTTACAGTGAGAGCTAATACACAGAACAGCGCATGAATTCATGAGAGAGAAAAGATGACCAGAGAGCTCGACAAAGAGACGGCAGAGGCACTAAAAAAAAAAAAACGCTATGCAGCCGTTACACGTAAACTCACGATGAGACTCCACTTTGCTCAAACAGCAGCTGGAAGTGGCCATTGGTACCCCTCGGCCTCCTGGCAGATGCACCCATGGTGTGAATTTCAAAAGTCCTACATCGGCTTGTTCTCAAGTTATTGCATTCATTTTCAGAAAACGTGACCTCTGACCTCTAACCCTGTGGTCTGGGTCACTGATTTGAAGTCAGCTGAGATTATTAGTAGAAATGCTTGTGGTATCAATTTCAAAATCCTAGGAAACTTCCTTCTGGAGTCATCGAATTCACAAACTTGGGTGACGACAATACCCTATATGTCATCACTAATAGAGCTATATGTAGCCAACAATAATAGAAGCCTTCAAAAAAAAAAAGAAAAAAAAAAAGAAACATTACATCAAAAATGTTGCCTGGATGCTACACTCTACCTGTTCGAAGCAGCACTTCTGGTGCGATATAGTTGGGTGTCCCCACGAGTGAATGGGCCAGACAACGCTGGTGCTGCCGGGCCTTTCTCCTTTCCAGAGGCTTCAGGCGGTCTGTACAGCGGCAGTTGGCTGGATCCTCCCATTCCTTACTGAAGTCCATGCTGTCCTGCCTCACGTGGTCCCCTGAAGAGAGGGTATGTGAACACAGTGATTTTTCTACTTTTTATATGTCAGCAGGTCAGATTGTTTTAGGCTCTGAACAGAAAGATTTTGATGACAATCATTAAAAGAAAGCTGAAAGATGCTATTCAGAACTTTCTGGTTTTCCCCTTTCTTTTAAATGACAGTCTGAGAGCTTAGTTTAAGACATGGGTGGGGGAACTCCCTGCAGGTTTCAGACCTCACCCTGGGTCAACACACCTGAATCAAATGATTAGCTCATTACCAGGCCTCTGGAGAACTTCAAGACATGTTGAGGAGGTAAGTTAGCCATTTAAATCAGCTGTGTTCAAGGACACATCTAAAACCTGCAGGACACCAGCACTTGAAGCCTGGATTTCCCCACCCCTGGTTTAACAGGGTTACTTGTACATATGTACTTGGTTAATGTTTTGTTTCAAATGCCTTGGTATTTCTTTGTGAAGCACTTTGTGATGTTTGTCTTGAAATGTGTTATACAAGTAAAAAGTTACTTAAATACATTGGGGCATTATATGAAATGACCGTGATGTTTAATATGACTATATCACTGTAGCAGTATGAATGTGGCATGACATGTCTACTATAAGCATGTAAAATTAAAATAAACTCTCACCGCTCTGGTAATACTTCGAGTCGTGGGTCCAGCGGAAACCAGTGCAAAGACCGAAGTCTGTCAGCTTTATGTGACCGTCTCTGTCTATGAGGATGTTGTCAGGCTTGATGTCTCGGTGGATGAAGCCCATCTTGTGGACGCTCTCCACAGCGCAGGTGAGCTCTGCGATGTAAAACTGAGCCAGCTCTTCTTTAAAGATGCCGAGTCTGATGAGAAGGCTCATCATGTCCCCTCCGGGGATGTACTCCATAACGAAGTACAGGTTGTCCTTATCTTGGAAAGAGTAGTAGAGACGCACTACCCACTCATTGTCGGCCTCTGCCAGAATGTCCCTCTCAGCCTTGACGTGAGCCACCTGGTTTCTCAGGAGCACGTCCTTCTTGCGGAGAGTCTTCATGGCGTACAGCGCTCCTGTGTCCTCTTTTCTGGCCAAGCAGACCTCGCCGAAGGCGCCGATGCCGAGGGTCTTGATCCGTTTGAACATGCACTTGTCCATCTTAGCTCGTTTTAACCGAATGTAGTTAGATTCCTTTTGACAGAGCATCATACGCATCTGCTCCTGGGCTTCTGAAGACAAACCCACCTGAACACATGGCAAAAGGAATAGTTATATACAATGAATGAATATAAAATAAATAAACTACGAAAAACTGTAAGCATCAAGAGAAAGGGGACAAAAGAAAATGAAGGAAACCAGTGCAACATATCAAAATGCAACTGTGGTGATTACCAGAGTTAATCATTTTATTCCAAAGCAGAAATTCACAAGCAGTAAAGTGAAGGCTATGGGATAGCATGCATTTTAATCAGCTATAGGAGGCCATCATGCTTTCATCAGAAGACACATTCAAAACACAAACACCAGATTCCCAATAATATCACATGCCAGCAGAAATACCTTTACCTTTTAGATCAGCTGTTAGTGACAGCGAGGAGGGAAAAAAAGAAGAAAGAACAGCTGAGAAAAAACAGAACTGCATGAAAAAGATCAGAGACAAAGTCACAGGAGGACAAGAAGAAATAAAAAGTAGGAAAACAGTAAAAAGATGGAAGAATTGAGCAGCAACTGTTGTGAAAATGCTTCCACTGATGTTCTCACCCTTTGCATCTCATTTTCCAGTTGCTTCCTTCTGTGAATCCGCTGCTGGTGGTTCTTCAGGATGTTCTCTATGTGTTGCTCCATGAAGAACTTGAAGGCCTGTGGGGAATACAAATTGACTCTTCCCGACTCCCCTCTCCGCTCTTCGTCTTTCTTGTTGCGTCGGACCGGAACAGGCGATGTAGTGATTTGCTTCCTGTCCTCCTCTCTTGCTGCTCCACCCTCTGGGCTTTCTGATGGTTTTTCCCTCGAGCCGTCCCCCCGGCCGCTGCTCTCCTCATCAGCAGGATCCTCTCTGCCTGCACTGAGCCTGTTGGCCCCTGTGTCATACCCTGGTGGGCTGGGTGCAGCCTGCTGTTGGAGGAGGTGCTTAGGGTAAGGGGGAGGAGGTCCGTGATAGTCAGGTGCTTCAGATACGACCTGCGGGACTGTACCTGCGGGCTCTAGGTAGGCAGGCGCAGCAGGAGGTGGTGCAACGTGCGGTTTCCATGGAGGATGTGTTGGAGCGACAGCAGTGTGCAGTTTGGCTTTCTGAACATGGGTGCTTTTCACCGGCTGAAGAATGGGAGTCGGTATGATGGCAGTGACTGTGGTGGCAGAGGGCTGTGAGCTGGTCGGGTGAGTAGATCGGCTGTTCAGCTTTAAAGAATTGGAGCGGACTGGCATGTTATGTTGCCATGATGGAGAGCGGTCCTGGTTGCTGCCGTTGCCGGAGGAAGGTTGGGGCTGGCTGGACCTGGACTGAGGAAGACCAGAAAAGCACAACTCAAGGTTGTGGCTTTTCCGGCTGGGAACCATCATGGACTGAGGGATATTCCCTCCATTGTGGTAAGAAGGCGAGGATGCAGGTCCTCCTGTCTGCGGGTCGGTGGGACTGTGCCGGCTACTCTGGTTGACCGGGTACGGAGGAGGGGGATGTCTGCTGCCCCCTGTCACGTAGTCTGGCTGAGAGGAGCCACTCTGAGTCCAGCTAGGGGGAAAGGTGAACTTATTACCCCCAGAGCTTGGCATTATGATGGGCTGGTGGCCCATGGGCACTGGGCTGATCCCACGTTGATTCTGAGGTGCTGCGCTGTACCCATCAGGCCACGGCCCCTGGGGTACTGGAGAAATGCGTGGCACAAGGTAATCCATGTTTCCAGAGTACCGCTTTGTTGATGGGTTGCTGTCCCAGGATGACGCACAAGGAATGCCACCGCGGTTTGGTGGAGGTGTGACCCTCTGGTTGTTTGTAGGGTGGCCCTGTGGGAAGGCAGGAGGCGGTCCAGGGCTGTCGGATCGGTACATCATTCCTTCCTTAGAGCCCTTCCAGCTCGACCTCCTCAGGACAGCCGGCTGGATGTGAGAAGACTCTACAGACAGACACACTAAAGTTAAAGTCAAGCTGAAGGAAGAAAAAAAGAAAAGATGACTGAAAACACGAAATTACTTTCAGAATCTCACAGCCTAAATAATTCAAAACAAAAAGGCCATCTAACACTAAACTTTCATAAGAGCAACTGTAAAACTCATCTTCTCAGTTGAAAAGGCAAAATTTTAATGCACACATATACTACTGGTAATATCTATACTGCTTCTGTGTTGTCAAGACATGCCGTCAGTCCTTTTTTTGATCATACCGTCAGGAAAAGCCACTTCTCTCAGCCCATTTGAGGCATCTGAACCTTGCCTCAGTCACCTAACCAGATACTTTAACAATTTCAACAAATTATTCTGCTGCCTCAGATTCTCTTAGAGTGGATGGTTGACTTCCAAGTGGCTCTTTACCTTGCTTAACTGCGTGCTGCCTTTCTCCCTCAATGAACTCTTATGTCCCCTTTCAATTGATGGGTCACACCTTCAAAATGCCCTCAATTTCACAACTGTGTGAATGAACCTGGGAATCCTTTTGACACAAGTTTTATAAAGGATTTGTATTAAACATTTGTCAGTGACTCACACGCATCCTTTACTCCAGGGCACGGTGGATAAAGACTTGTAACTTGCATAAAGGAGAACTTTTAGGGTTTGCTTTTTGTAATAACTAGGCAATACAGACGCCCTATAAACTGCTTAGGTTACTAAACAAAGACAATATTTTCATCCTTAAAATGTGTCACAACCACCACTCAGAATAAAAACCAAAAACCTTCCAGTCAACTTTTTCCATTCAGTGATGCAGTGACTCATGCTGTGTGTCAACAGCATAGTTATTTCTTAAAGCAAATGTCCCAAATCCCTCAAACAATACTGAGGCTGGATGGATGATAAAACAGGAGAAGCAACATATAATCCCAGAGGACTGACATACCTGGGGGTTTGAGGCCTGCAGAGCTGGGGTTGGAAACAACCTTACCCATGTAGTCTGTAGCCGGCCCTACACCGTGACTGATGCTTGGCTTAAGAGGGAAAAAGAAATTGAACACAAAAAAATTAGAACTGAGCAATTAAAGAGGAATAAGACACAAATTGGCCTACAGTGACATCTTTAATTCACTGTTTTGTTCTGTCCAACAGTTGAATAGCAATCTATAAACAAACACAGAAAATCCTCCTGTACTACTACAGAGACAAGAACAAAGGCAAAAAAACATAAGAGCAAAGACTTGTGTTGACTGATGAGGTGGAACTAAAACCACAGACTGGGAGTAGTTGGAAAGAGAACATGGTGACATATTAGATGTGCATTTAGAGCATTTCCAGAGTAAGTTGTGGAAATGGAATGACTACCATGAAAAAAAAAAAAAAAAAAAGTTCTTCATTTCTAACTTGTGCCAAGTCACACAACCGGCAGCATTTTCAGGCGCCTGTCCTTAACTTTGAGTAATCCTACTAACAAAAACAACAAGCAGACAAACAGAACCAGTCACACAACCTCTTTAACTCCAGGGCTTATTAATTATGGCAAAAATAATAATCACAGGTGCTTTAGTTAATACTGACATCACAAATAGTAGTTTTATGTCAGTTATCTTATTTTAATGGCCTGTGAAAGCCAAAATTGTAGCTTAAATTAACAAATTTACATTAACTATGACATACTTTGACTAAAGCACTACATACCAAATTCATACCTGGATTGCACGCACTTACTCAAAACAAGTTGTAAATGCCAACTGAGAAACAAATTCTTTACCCTGAACTGTACAAGCTTGTAATTCCACTTTGCATGCCTCTCATTTTCTAAATAATTCCACTCAAAACAATCTGTTCCCAGCGATTACCCTCAATTACAGAGACATGCACAGAACGCCATAACTCCACAATCATTCAAAACAACCCCTAACGATATCTAAAAACATTCCTCACCTCCTCGAGCCCTGCAAAACGGGGTTCTCGCTGCAAGCCTGAAGTGTTGGGCTCATTTTTAAAAGGCATGAGGGCCTCGCGGATCTCCTGTAAGGTTTTGTGGTGAGGGTTTTTGGGATTGTTGCTGCGCCCCAGTTGCCTTGAATCCTCTTGGAGCATCTTCCCTTGTGCACCAGTGTCCACTTTAGGTGGGTCTGACGGTTTCGACAGGTTGCGCAGGCTGTTCCGTATTTCCTGCAGCATCTGTTGGCTGTTGCCACTGTAGTTCGTGACGGGAAACGTTTTAGGTCTCCTCTGCCGGTATCCTTCGGGTTTCTCCCCTCTTTTCATGTACGAGCATGTAGGATGACGATGAAGAGGGATGAAGAGGATTTCACCAGTCCAGAGTTGAAGTGATAGTACAGGATCTTGGATGTCTGAGCTCACATCTGCATGCTGCAGCTGGGAAAATATAGAGTGGATGTTATCCTTGAGAATGTGAGTGTAGTACTTTACAGATAAACATAAAATATGGGAATTAGTAGTAGCCAGTAGCTGAAACAGAACTGGATCTCGTTGCTTTTTATTTTGTTTACAAGCTAAACTATGGTGTATAAAACTTAAACCTTCAGACGAAACAGTTTTCCATTATAAATCAATAACTCACCCACTTGCTAGCGCTGTTAGCACTGTTCGCTAACAGAGTGCTGCTCTAACGCGAATGATCCTGCGTCAGGTACTAACATAAAATGCCAAATACATCCGACAAATTCGCCATTAAAATCACAACTACCTAACGATCCGTAAGCTTCAGCCATCGTAAGTTTTCTCTGCGTTAAATCCAGCAGCTCAGCAGTGCCTCCGCGGCCTGTGTGCTAAAGGCATCCATTTGCTTCTAGGCTAATTCAACAACAGGATGCGAACTAGCCTGTTAGCTCGAAGCACAACTAACAACAGTTAAACAACTTACCAGAACCCTCAGCTGCCGTTTTTCCGCCACAATTTCCTTCTTTAAATGGGTAAAGACTATTGCTTGACGTTCCTCGGTGACAAGGACGCAGTTTTACTCAAAACGTCTTTGTTGTGTCGTGCTGTCTAGTCGTGTAGGATTCCTGGGATGTCTGAATGACAAGTACAACAGCTCCAAGCTATAAATAAAGCTAACGAAGAATACTTCCGTTTTCCAAAATAAAGTTTCGTTAACGTAAAAGAGCTTTTTTTTCTTCAATTGAGTTTAATTTCCCAGTGTATGGAAGTTCGTTTAAACCACTGAAGAAAAAAGCCTGTAAGTCAAAATTTCGCGTTATTATCTTGAAATTTAGATTTAATAACTTGACTTATTGATTACTGACGCCAAATTTTGATACTTATCAATAGATTAAAATTTTTAGATACGCAACTCGAAATTCTGAGATAATCACTCCAAATATCATGGCATTATCTATTTATTTATTATAACTAAGTAATTATTTATCGATTTTGCTTTTTGTTTGTTTCTTTTAGGTTTAGTACGTTTTTATTGGCTTGGGTATTCGTTTGAGGTTTCCTTTTATTTTAGCACAGGGGTACTTGACATGGGAAAGATTTAAGATGGCCTGAAAACCCATTGCAATACACACACAACATTCTGCAAATAAATTTTGGAGCCATGTAAAAATAGTTTTAGTAACCCTTAATTTAGGGGTGTTAAATATAGTGAGCCAGCAAAAGACAACCGAGTCTACTGGACACCTTTGGAAGATGTGAAGGAGGGCATACATTTTGGACTTAACTATATTTTCATAAATTTTAAATACATATTTGAGTAGGAACTTTAACTTTTAAAGCAGGCCTGGAAATAGCCCTGGGAAAACAGTAATCTAGATGCTGAGATAGAGCTGAAGTTGATCTTCTAAGAAGGTAATGAAAAGATGAGTGATTAACTTTCAATTTCTGTATTTATTAATAAATGGAAAAGAGAGAAAACAGCTCAAATGAGTCTTGAAACATTTCTATTAAGTATTTTTATTTTATAACTGTATTAAACGTCATCTGTACAAAAACCATTGTTGGGTTGAACTATTCTGCCCGTGATGAAAAAGACAAATAAACAAATAAAGCTAACAGTCCAGTATTTTACACCTCCTGTATGACCCTCAAGCTGACACCAAATGAACATCTTCATCCACATCCACTCTGAGGCACTAACATCGCTTTTAAACCGGGACCTGTCTGTTGACAAAAATAGCCTCTCCATCAGTGCCGCACACGAGACACGGACCGAGCACGTCCAGGCTGTTGACAGACAGCGTCTGGCTGGGCAGCATGTGAGTCGTCTCCAGGCGGCCTTTGCTGGAGTCTCCACTTAGCCAGGCGCTGATCAGGGGCTGCTTTCCTCCGGCTGGAGCCATTGCACTGCGGGAGACCATGCTGCTGTTTCTGCCCCCTAAAAATACAAAAACACTTATTACATTATGAACATAGAGGAATTAATACTATACTATATTTTATTGAGGAATAGTTTCCCAAGGAAATTTACAGGCCAACTTGTTAACTCCTGGCTGATTGAGTGTGAGACAGTGAACAGTACTAGGTGTAACTCTTGCCATTTTTACAGGTGTTCCACAAGGATCTATTCTTGATCCTCTTTTATTTGCTCTGTACATAAACGACAAAGCAAAATGGGATGTCTACCAGCCTAAAGGTTGATGGTTCAGTCCCTGGCTACTCCAGTTTGCATGCTGAAGTATCCTTGGGCAAGATACCGAACCGTGAATTGCCCCCAATGTACCAATTGGAGTGTGTGTGTGTGCACAAATATTAGACAAGGTGCTTAGGTATAGGAAAAAAGCACATGTATGGATGTGTCTGTGTGATTCAAAAAGTCATTCTGGAGGAAATTAAATTAGTTGGAAAATAGTGTAAAAACAGTCATATTTATACAATAAAACTGACTTGCCTTGTAAGAAGGAAGGCATGTCTGAATGGGAGGATGTCTCCCAGTGCAGCAGCGAGCCATCCTCTGAACATGTGAACAGGTGATCTGGGTTGGTTGGGTGGAAGTGGACCTCCCACACTGTCAGGAAAACCAAAGACATACGTATGAAACATCTTTTAAATTTCAGTTTTAATACATCTTCCCACAATAAGCCGACTTTACTTTCAGCTGTGTGTGCCTCCATCAATGAGAAGGGTGTGTTGCCTTGTCTCACATCCCACACACAGAGCATGCCATCCTGGCCTCCTGTGGCCACGATGTGCTGCTGGTTCGGATGTCTGTCCACGCAGTGTAAAGGAACTCGATCCCCTGACCTGGATGAACAGAAACCAACTCATCAGACTTGCTTATAATTGAAATAAACAGGAAGGAGAAAACAAAAAACTTTTAAGAATGCATTTTTTAGAGCTCTTACAGGGACAGAATCTGTGACGGTGAGTTGCTTTGCTGTCTGAAGTCCCACAGTTTGAGCTGACCGATTGAGTTCACCGTCAAAATCTCTGTGGTCCTCAGATAAGTCACCGCATGGATTGTGCTGCTGTCGGCATTCTCTATCAAAGGTTAAACAGTCCAAGAAAGATCTTAGTTTCAACTTGTTTCACACAACTTAAAAATAACTCTGCTTCTTGAGCTCACCGATGACTCGAACCACTCCCTCCTGGTCAGCTCTGAAGACGACGATCCTGCCATCTTCACCCACTGTAACAATCTCCGGGCTGCTGCAGACGACGCCGGTGCAGGGGGCGTTGTCACAGGGATAACGATGTGCTCTCGCCCAGAGCTGAGACACCGAAATGGTCTGTAGGCAAGAGAATTGAAATGAAGTGAATCCAATGAATCCAATCCCACTGAGCAGTCTCTCATTCCCCTCCTGAATAAGGCTTCACTAAAACCTATTATAATTTAGTTTGATGACACGGCGGAGGTTCTCACCATATGTAAGGAGTTATAGCTGTACCACTGTAGTTTCTTGGTTGAATCTTTGTGTTTAGTATTTTACACACAAATGTCTGGTTGCATACTTTTATTGTGAAGACGCTGACGAAAGTCTACACTTTGTTATCTCTAGTCAAGGGTTAAGAGTGAGGTCCAGTTCAGTTTACTGGTCTATTCTGGTTCGTTACCACATATTCCTGTTTTGCACAAGACTGACTTTAAAGATCATTACATAGCAATTATACAACAGTTTTAATTTCCTGATATTTTAGTTTAAATATATTTCGTTTAAAAATAAAAGCTCAGAGTAGAATCACTGCTGCTTTGTGTCGATCTGATCAGGATCATTTCGGAGGTTTTCGCGGCACGCACGACCGGGAGGAGACCCTGGGATAGACCCAAAACCCGCGGGCCGCTTTGTTAGGTACACCTGTTCAAGCGCTCGCTACAACAAAAAGATTTAACCTGCCAGTCGCATGGCTGCAACTCAGTGCATGTATGTAATCATGGTCACGACGACCTCCTGAAGTTCAAACTGATTATCAGAAAGGGAAAGAAAGGTGATTTAAGTTACTTTAACATGGCGTGGTTGTCATGGTATCAGACAGGCTAGTTTGAATATTTCAGAAACTGCTGGTCTACTGGCATTTTCCTACACAACCATCTCTAGGGTTTAAAGAGTATGGTCTTAAAAAGATAAAATGTCCAGTGAATTACTGTCAGCTGAAGACAGGAAACCGAGGCTACAGTACACATGGGCTCAACAAAACTGGGCAACAGAGGACTGGGAAAAACATCACCTATTCTGATGAGTCTCAATTTTGGCTGCAGCATGCACAAGTTAAGGTCAGAATTTGGTGTAAAGAATGCAAAAGCAGACAGAGCCATCCTTCCTTGTATCAACAGGTCAAGCTGCTGGCTGAGTAATGGTCTCCAAAGTCACCAGATCTCAACTCAATGATACAAGAGAATTAGATCATGGATGGCCAGCTTGGAGTCAGCAAGGTGTGTATTAACAAATAGACTATTAAGTGTATCCCACCTGCACCAGGAGTACCTCAGGAGCCACTAAGAGGAACTCAAAAGCACTGGTAGAGAAGAACACATTTGAAATAACATGCTTAGCATGTTTCCTCCACTATCCAATATTGGATCATTTGAAGATGATGGATGGATTGGCTTTCTTCAATTTGGAGAACAAAGGTCATATCAAGCTCAACACGAGGCATCCATAAAACATGACATACAGCACCTGGCTGTTCTGGTGGTGTCGAAAGATGGTGACGGCTCCTGTTGATGATGCTGTGACTATTCTGTCCTGGTCCAAAAACTGCAAATACATGAAGGAAAACGGATCAGCCTTATTGTTGAAGTTGTTAGTCCCACAAATGGGAAGGATAAGACTAAATGTTCTGCAAAAATAAAAAGGTATTTTTATATACATGAGCGTGGTTTTAGTAAGACTAAGACATCACAATAAAAGCCTAAAACAGTGATTTGAGTGCAAAGTAAAAAATAAAACGATTCACAACACCACAGCAGTTTTTAGACCTGGCTAATGAGCTACACATCGCAGTGAGTGGCTTACCTGGAGGTCAAGAACATCTCCATCATGCTTGTGTTCACATAAAAGCTGCGGGTCTCCTTCAAACCCATCTTCCATACCAGTGCTTAAATTACTCCCAATGGACCAAATAGAAATCCTGTTGTCCTGTGTGAGACACATTTGAGCTGGCTAAGTTAAAATTGAACACGTATTAGTAATTATAGATAACTGGCACGTATCAGTAAGTCTCCGTGAATTTGGAAAAATACCTGCCTTACTGTTGGAAAAAAAAATGTTCATCTATTACATTTATGTGGAGAAAGATGGCCGATATGTCACATTGTTGTTTATTACATGTCTTAAATTGTACTCTTATCGTCACAGCGTTTACAAGTCAGCCAAAGAGCAAAACACTTAAAATTCCGTTATTTTGCAAAGAAGTTTGGCGGGAGGTCCATTTTTTAAAGTGTCAACATGCCAACCTCGTTGTCCCATGAGCCCGTCGCAAAGATTTCTGGCAGTTGCAGATCCGAATGTGACACTGGCCGCCATTTCGTTTTGCTGATTTTCTGGGATACGTATTTAGCGTTTATACTCTCCATGGAACCAGATTCCTGCGTAAAATTAACGATCAACTACTGATGTTAGCTTAGCAATCATGGGTAAAACCAGAGCAAGGTACGCGCCTGCTGTCAAAGAACTAATTGACCGGAGAACTGCTACTCTTTGTATATCCGGTCTCATAGGGGGCGCTGGCGAGATGTTTCAGAACAAATGGGGCTCTAAGAAGCTCTAAATAAAAATGTAAATTTCGTTGGGTAAGCATTTTTCTTCTGGCAGACTTCATCATATTAGAGAGGATTAAAATGATAATTATGTCTATTGCAATAAAATGTTCTTCTGTAAGTTTTAGGGATTTCAAAGGTCTGTGAGCTACATTGCAGGTAGCTGCCATTTTGACTCCAGGCATGATAGTTTCCCTAAGAAATTCCAAACAGCATTAAAAATATTTTATTTATTTTGAAAATATTATCGATGCGTATTTGCAAAAAATAGAAAAATATCTCCGCATTATTGTCTGGAGGAAGAGGTACATTCTTATTGTATCTAATTAGCCAATCAGCTCATTTGTGTACAAAGGTTTTATTTCGAAGGGGAAGAGTTGTCTTAGATAATCTCTGGCACCTACTAAGTCGTATGTAACTACGGTAACCCAGTGAGACCAAATTCAGCGTTTCTCACATTGTTTGCTATTTCCCGCCACCTAGCGGCCGCTACCTGTCCTAACTGCGGCAAATCTGCGTTAAGCACAGTGCGGAATGTGGCTTTGCCCTTGCATCAAACACCGTGCTTGGACACATATCTTATAAAACAGATCAACTTTTATGAATTAAAGGGTAGTGCTGTGTGTGTGGTGGGGTGTGTCTGAAAGGGGGACTTGCCGTAAACAAAACAACAAAAAAATAAAATAAAAATCAATCGGATGGCCGGTGACGTATCCGCCGCTCCGCCGTCCGCTCTGGAGGTTGTCAGCTTCATCGGCAAAACGGTCGGCGCAGGCGCGGCACTGACAGCTGCTGTCTACTTACTCCGCAAAGTCTGCTTAATAATGGCCTGGAAATCAGGAGGAGCCAGCCACGCAGAGCTCGTCAACAACCTCCGCAGTGAGTCTGCATGTTTTTCTAAAAAAAAGCGGCGGCGGTGGCAGCGACGCTTTTGCAGGTGCGTCGCCTGTAAATGGTTTAGTTTGGACGTTTAAGGTTAGCACAGAAGCTGGCTGGTTGCTAAGCTATGTGGTATGTTGTTGTTGATCTAGCAGCAACTCTCTCCACCCCTTTCCCAATTCACGCAAGGTAAAGATGCATCCCTTGCTGCGTTTGCAAATAACCAAGCCAACTCTTAACACTCAAATGACCTCTCCTTTGTTTGCAGTCAAGGGATTTTTGTGCAGCTAGAGCTTTTCGGCGAAGGTAGCTTAGCCTGCTAGCTCTATGTGCGTCATTTGGGACGCTGAAAGCCAAACGGCAGCGGCCCTGCCCACATCCACTAACGGCTACCCGTGTGTCGTCCACTTTCACGCTGAATGGCAGTGACAGCTGTGCATGCAAAAACTCAGTTCGTATCGGTGGGTGAGTGAAAATGGCAGCTTGCTGTGTCACAGCTGCGGTGGGAGCAGTGACTCAGTGCTACTACGATCGATCCCATCAATCCCACATGGTTCAATCATGCTGTCATGAGGTAGCGCGAAACTTAGTCACTGACAGCTCTGCGCAGGCATGTTTCCCACATGCATTTCTGTAGACCAGAGAGTCCACTTCTGATATAAGGTTATCTCCCAGGGCTATTTATAAGCTTTGCAGCTCAGCATATCATTACAAGCTTTAAGCTTTTGGCCGAAAGCTCTGTGGTTTGGGCCTTGCAGGGGAAATGTGCTTCACAAAGGAACAGTAAACCAGGGGTTTTCTGACTCCAAACAGTCGTTCTGGGGTTGTTTAATACAAGTTTGTGCATGTTTCTTTTATTTGGTTATTAGTAGCAATATCGTTGAAAAATATTTTTTTAATCACGACCCTGGTAACTTTCCTTTGATGGATGGCCAAAACGTCTTTGGGTTTTTATTTGTAATATGCAGGGAAAAAACGGTAAACACGACTACAACAAAACTGATAACAGGAAAGGGGGAAGCAATTATACCAAGTGTGCAAAACGCGCAGAAGTGCTAAAGTAGCAGCTGAGATATGGTCAGTTTAGAGTGTAGATGAGACAGAAAAAGAGAAAAACCCATGAAACATCAACAAAATAAATAATATAATAGGTACAACAACATTAAAGCAGATAACATAAAAAACAATTACAAAATAGATTAAATAATGAAGTAAATATTTAAAAAAAGGCCCTGGTTAGATCATAAAATAGAAATAAATCTAGAAAAAGGAACAGACTAATCAGTGAATACAAATAAACTCATGCAGTGCTTAAAAAAAAATCAGCAGAATTGCACCCCTCCCAATCTGTGACCCTGATAAGGATAAGCCAAAGAGGATGGAAAATATTAGTTAAAATAAATGAAGTAAATAACATTAATGTCTATAAAGCATTCTCAGTGAAAAAGCCAGACAGAAAAGGACAATTTGAAGTTTTGAACACTTCCAGCTCCTCTTGTGTCAGTGTTATAAACTAAAAAAAATTTAGGCATGAGCAAATCAAATCCTAGTTAAAGAGACCGAAGCCGGTGCCAACATTTCTGAATCTGTAGGAACACCCCTGACATATTTCTGGGTTCATAAATGAGTCCACACAGCTTTCCATTACTCCATTATCTTTGCTGCAACAATGAAACCATTGTTTTATATATAAAAACACAAACAAACAATAAAAAAATAAAAAAAACTCAAATGAAAACTGACAAATTCATGAAAGGAAAACCTTTTCACGATTAAAACTACGCCAATTAAAGGTTCATACTTGGGGGAAAAAACCCCTACAACCTTTTAAGTAATTTTCTTTTCTTGAACTTTCATTTATTTGTTTTCAGTTGAATTAATTAATGTGAATTAAACTAAAAACGCCACAGGCTGCTGGGCAGTGGATTTGGGCTTTTATGGATGGAAACAAAGGACATAATTACTGCGGAACAGAAGAAGACGCGGTGATTCGTTTATTGCAATTGTCTTGTTTTAATAAGCTTTGGAAGCCAAAATTCTCATTAACATTAAATTTTGCTTACATGCCGAGCTCTAGCTGGACCTTTTCAAGCTGTAACCTCTGCAAAACCAAGCTTGTTGTCAAGAAAAACACCCAAATATTTGTAGCTCGACACCTTGATAAGTGTTGGTGGTGTGACTGTTGACCTTTTCGTAAAAAAATCATGTCTTTTCACTTTTGAAATGATCCAGCTCCTTACCTTCAAGAAGCCTGATGATAACTGAGTCATCAGCTAATTTTTTGTTTCTATAACTGCTGCAGGACTCATTATTGTACATGATGATAAGTTTCATTATTAACAAAAACTTGCACCTGGTGATATTAATATGGCTTTAGTCCATATTAATGGTGTTATGAATTTAACTGGGAACACTTACTGGAAATAGAAGCATAAAAAGAGTCAGGATTACCTTACCTAACCAAAGTCTGTGTACTCGCTTGTTATTTTGGGGTGTTTGCTGAAAAGAAAACGTTCCTTTTAATGATAATTACATCAAATTAACTGAATTAGCTTTAGCATTAAAACCCTTTTTTTTAGTGAATCTGTACAAAAAATACATTTTGTATTAGTCTGGTGCAAACTGAAGTCAGGTCAGTGTAAAGTTTTACCTGTGTGGTCATTACTCGCTCCACTTAACTGGACACTGACCCATTTAGACACATGAATGGCTTGAAGTTAACCTGAGTTTGCGTAAGCTGCATTTAAGCAGGTCACACGCAGGACGCATGCTAATTCCTGAGTTCTTCATTGTCTCTGTCCTCCTGGTCAGCGCTCAGGACCGGTCAGAAGGTTATTGGTTTGATGCTGAATGACTCATTCGTCTTTAAAGTTCAGCAACTAGTCCTGTGCTCTAGGAAATGTGAAGCATGCCTCTAAGTTGTTCACCTTGTGGGTTCCAATTTTAGAAACAGTGTGAAGTTGGAGTGTTTGCTTGGTGAATAATTAAGGATGGGAGGATCGTGGCTTGAAATGAGCCATTAGATATTAGTTGTAGATGTTCGCCTGGCAGCTTGTTTCTGTGTAATGTATCCTAAAGTGGCTCATGGATCAGAGGGTGAGGGGAGTTGGTGATGACAGCAGAGCCGGCTGTCGTTGGCTTTTTCCTGCCTCTGGCACTCACTGCTAAAGGATCCCGTTAGGAGGGATTATTGTGAAGACGCTTCTTCACGAAGCTTTTTTGTTTGTTTCTTTGGTGGCCTGTCTGTAAGCTTTGGTGTTTCTCTGCTGCACACATACTGGTCAGCACATATGGGTCACAGCCTGTGTTTAGGCTGCAATTTCTGCATTTTCTTCTTTGACAGTAGTAAAAAAAAAAATGCTTACTTTGATTTTCTTTGCTTTTTTTTTCTTTGGTTTGCAACTTCATCGTCATCATGCACATTCTTATCTTCCCCGAGAAGAAATGCTCAGTGCGTCATAGGAACTCTCCTTTCAGCTCAAGCTTATTGCAGCATAATTAAGGATTGGTTCAGGCTCCTCTGATCCAGCCCTAACTCTATCCATCCATTCGCTTCCGCTTCTCCTTTTCAGGGTCGCGGGGGGCGCTGGAGCCTATCCCAGCTGTCATAGGGCGAGAGGCCCTAACTCTATGTTTTGTCAAAAAGGAAAGCTTTAAGTCCAACCTTAAAAGTAAAGAAGGGTGTCTGTCTCTTGAAGCCAAACTGGGAGCTCATATTGGAAGGCTCTGCCTCCCATTCTACTTTCAGAAACCAATAAAGGGGCCAATGAAGACAAGCTGATATGGGAGAAACATGACCTGTCTTTCTGGTCCTGGTTGGCTCTCATGTAACATGGTGTATACTTTACCCCACTTCTTTCTTAAAAACAAGATCCAAGTTGAATTTTACTTAAATTTCACTTAAATTAGTTGAATTTTACTGAAAAATTTTCATAACCAGGGATGGAGGGACCTGATTCGCTCAGACAACACCTAAAAGGAGCAGCTGAAAGCATAAGAAAACATCATCTTACTTTTGCCTTGCAATTGTCACCTGGTTGTACAAACCCCAATGCAGAGGCTTTGTGTCCCACAGTGCGACAACCACAGTTTTCCCTGCTCTGACGTCTGTTTATAGCTAAACGGACGCAGTGAGCTGAGCCTTCACGTTGCACATTTCATCATGTAAACATTAATTTCTGCCTTAAAACACCAAATTAGAAAAAATTTTCCCACGATGGCTCCAAACATCCAGACATGTGTGAGTGATCTTGGTGTTGACCAAAATAATTGTAATTTTGCCAGTAATCCTGATTTATTTCTTTACTTTTTTCTCATGATCATCTTTGGTATATTTTTTGAAAAACACGATCATACATGCCTAATGGGTTGATAAAGCGTGTTTGTCTTCCATATAAACAAGGGTTTTGGCCTTCCCTCAAATTAAAATCACCAGACTGATAAGAATAATTGCTTAATTCACTTAAGCATGAAGCATGTGTTTATGCATCTTAATGGTCAGAAATAACAGAAAATACTCGTATTTCCCTGGAGTAAGGCAACACAAATGTTTTGCTTTAACTTTGAGTGGACTGCTTGTACTTAGATGTGTAGTCACCCCCTTGAAACTTTGTTCTGAGCCAGGAAGAATAATAAATACCTGATAAATTACTATACTTTACTGCAGTGACGCAAAAATATGAAAATCCAGTAGTTTGTTAGAGCAGTCCTGTTCATGATTTGGAAAAATGAGGCTATGTACTAGTAAAAGTAGTTTATTGTTGTGAATTTGCTGTCTCATATCTCTATATTGTGTCCTCCTTCATTCTTTTTGTCTGTCTGATTCTGCTGCGGGATTATGTAATATATATATATATATCTTGTTCTTTTTGCCTCCTCAGAAAATGGCATTATTAAATCTGACAAGGTCTACGAAGTCATGCTTGTCACAGACCGAGCACATTTCTCTAGGCTTCACCCTTACATGGACTCGCCGCAGTCAATAGGTACGTCTGCTTGTGTACTCGCTCGCGCATCGCCGCACGGAGATCTGAGATTCAAACTAACCAAACCTACTTCCTGTCTTTTAACCAAAAGGCTATCAAGCGACCATCAGCGCCCCACACATGGTAGGACTTTAAAGACTTTCAGACATTTCTGCTCCCTGTGAATCACAGCTTTGAATGGTTTTGTTGTTGTTATTGTGAAGCTTGGTCCCATTCAGTCATTCCTAATCATCTATTTTTAGTAGATAACAGTAGCAGTTAACCAAATCCTCACAGTTTTGTGCATTTGTGCTCATTGTTGGCATGTTTCAGTCGAGTAATAGAAGCTTAAAGTGGATCCATTATGTTTTTCCTTATTTGCTGCTGTTGATGGCACGGGAGATGCCCATTAAACATGCCCAGGGTTTTCTTTTGTTTGTTTGTTTTTATTCTACTTTTTGTTCTGGATGATGTCACAGAGAACGATGTTTCCCAGATGTTAGCTTTTTATTGAGGTTTTTGTTCATTTATTTTTATTGTTATTTATTTTTTTGCAGAACTAATCATTTACACCTGTAGTTCCCAGGAAGGTCGCGTGAAACTTTATGGCGTCTGTGGCAGTAAATCATGGCAGCAGCCTCTTATAGCCCTTTTCTATTAGTATCATGGCTTGTTTCAGACAGAAGGAATCGTACAAAGCTACAAGAATAATAAATATGGAGCTGAGGATGAGCAGGATAGGTCCACTTTAAGCATGAAAAACTGAAACAAGCCTCACAGATGGCCTGCGCTGGGATTACCGTGTGTTAGTCTGTGCTGTGTGAGTGATGGGTTGAAATGCTATTGTCTCGTTTTGCCTCCCCAGCACGCCTATGCCCTGGAGCTTCTACATGACCAGTTGTATGAGGGAGCGAAGGCTCTGGACGTCGGCTCCGGCAGTGGGATCCTGTCGGTTTGCTTCGCACGAATGGTGAGCCACACACGCGACGGGTAAACACAAACGACTTCTCTTTGGTGGCATTGTTGATTAATTGAGCTGATTGATCCACTAATATGTCAACCAATCGATCAAAATCAATCAGATTGACTGCGTTGAACATTGTGAACGTCGTGATTGAACTGAGCGCGCCCCCCACACTCTCTTCGTCCCTCTGCGCTTTACAGGTAGGTCCTAAAGGGAAAGTTATAGGAATCGATCACATCAAAGAGCTGGTAGATGATTCTATAAACAACGTGAAGAAAGATGACCCCAGTTTGATAACATCGGGCCGAGTCAAGCTAATAGGTAAGACATCGCGGATGAAAGCTTTATATCTTTGTTTTTTCAGCAGACGTTTGTGGGTTTTGAGGAAGGGCTGCTGCTTCCTTGATCCGACCGAACAGCAGACAGTTTAATGTTCCCCGGTGGAGAAAAAGGCAGCAGTCAGTAAACAGCGTGCAGCTCTAAATAATTGAGCAGTGAGGACTTTTACCTCCTCTGAAGGGGGGTTCAAGAGCAGTTCAGTGAGGGGATTAATAAGAGCAGTGATGCTTATTTTTTCATTTCTCTGTTTTGTCTTTCATTTCGTAAATCGCTTTTTACTGTATGTGATTACAGGTGGTTGTCGGTTTTATTAATAGCAGTGCCTTTGTTGATTTATGTTTTCTTGGTCGCATTCTTTATCAGTTCTCTTTTGGATTCTTAATCGGTTTTCTGTGGTTAGGCCTCTGCAGGTTTTCACCATCAGCGCAGCTGTTTTGTTTTTACTCGGTCTGAAGAAATGGCATGCACATGATTCAGGTTTGCAGAAGCTGCTCTGCCATGAGTCTGATTTCATTGTTTTATGTTGCACAACTGTTGCCAGTTGCCAGCAGCGACTAGTGGAGTCTGATAGATGGGCAGCCTGGATTTCAGACCTTATTCTGAAATCTTTCTGTATTTAGTCTGTTAATAACGGCACATACGGGTAAAAAAAAATACTCGCAACTGGGAGATAAAAAGAAGCAGACCAAAAAAAGATTTGTCTGCTGATTGATTAGGTAAAACACAACTAATGATATTTAATGGCAAAGTAAAATTAGAGACACCCTTTGAGTCTATAAATGTAAATAAACAAAAGCAATCTGTGATATGAAAGTAACTCCCAGCCCTAAAATACTGAAATATACTAATATTGAGATGCAGTTTTATCAGCATTACTCGGCTATTTCTGGCTTCTCAGATCAGGTAAATTGTTATAAATGTCAGATGCAGCATTGGCCAAGTAATGTGTCTCGTCCCACCCTGTGGGGACATCCATCAGTGTTTTCAGTGCGACAGCTTGTGACTGACGTTCTGCTGCTGTTTCAGTGGGAGACGGGCGATTGGGCTACACTGAGGAGGCGCCGTATGATGCCATCCACGTTGGCGCAGCTGCACCCACCGTTCCCCAAGCTGTGAGTGTCTCTGAATTCTGCTGAGCACATTGTTACCCTTTACTTTACAACAAAGGCTGGATACCTAAACTGTAAACCTGCTTCATATTTAATTTGGTGTGTTTTTATATCTGATCCAGTATGACTGTATCTAAATAGAATCCCTGGAATGTAGTTTTAAAGCTGACTTGCTGTCCACCGCTGCCTCTCCCTTCTGCCTCCCTCAGCTTCTGGACCAGTTGAAGCCCGGCGGGCGGCTGATTCTGCCCGTAGGTCCGGCGGGGGGAAATCAGATGCTGGAGCAATATGACAAGATGGAGGATGGCAGCACCAAAATGAAGCCCTTGATGGGGGTGATTTATGTGCCTTTAACAGACAAAGACAAGCAGTGGTCCAGGTGGAAGTGACTTCCTTGTCCCTCTCCTTCCCCCTCTCTCCTTCTCACAGTGGCAAAGGTGAAATGGTGTGGCTTGGAGCAAGGCAATGGATCACAAGGGGCTGCATTTTGCTGCTTGTTGACATTTTTTTGCTTCTTCCATACCATACCAACTAGCTGCACGTTTCCTTCATCTTCTTTTAACCCCCGTAGCTCTAAATTGGTCTCAATAAAAGCTGCCTGATTAATGCACTCTGCTCTGTTTCAAACATGAGGGAATGAGCTGAAATCACAGCAGGTTGAAGGCACATGATTGGTTTTCAGGAGCATGACTGCTTTGCCAATTTGGAAGCTTATTACCCAACTTCAACTCAACTACTTTATCTGATAATCTTTGAAAGATGAAAACAACTTTTCTAATGACGTTTTATCTTAACATGTTGCATGCGGTCTTCTCTTTTAACTCTGTTTGCATGACAGCAAGATTTCTGCTTGTTTTTCTTGCAACTTGCCTCAATTTTTGTGTGTTCTAATATTTAAAATGTGTTTCTCACAGGGATGAACTTTGAAGAGGAACGCAGTCCATAATCCACCTTTTAAGTTTGAACCTGGAGAAAACTTGGAATGGGTCGGACAGCCCTTGACATTTTGTTCAAAGCATAACAAACGTGCTCTTTTTTTGTTTGTTTGTTTGTTTGTTTGTTTGTTTGTTTAATTTTAACAACGGACTAGAGTTTCACATTTGATGACGGCCCCGAGGGGCTGCGAGGAAAGACTGCTTGACGCTCTGCACAGAAATATCGGAGAGAGATTTATTGTTTTTGTTTTCCAGGTCTGCATCCTTTTTGGTTTGTGTTCGTTTTAACCGCTGGATTTTTAGTTTTTTCTTTGTTTTTTCTTTTTGTGGTTTCACCATTTGATTTGCAGTCAAACATTTTTCACAGCATTACATTTCAGCAGCATCAAAGCTGAATGCAGGAGGAACCCCGGACAACCAAGACGAAGAACGCCTGAGCCTGTTAGATAAATCACCTAGCTACAGTCTGTGTGTGTGTGGATCATAAAAACTGTAGACTTCTCTGCTAAAGTATGAGCTTTCTTCCCGTGGCATCAGTGTTAAGAACACAAACACACACATAAATTAACACACAAAGCCTGATGTAAACCCCCACCACACACACACACACACACACACACACATCCTGTTTTCATGTGCAGCACGTAAAATAAGTACCGAACATACTCCGAAGGGAGCAGAGCACTAATGACACCGACACATACGCACGCACATACAGGCTGTGCTTTCCACTTTGATGTGTTGCTTTCTGCCGCTGGTTTCCATTAACAATTTGTGCAGGCTCCTCTGGTGACTGACACTAAATGGGGAAAGTCACTGCTTTGCCAAAATAAACTCCAACAACATAAAGCAAATGAATGTCTGTTTTCTTGATGAAAAAAAAAAATCATGAAATGAAAAAAAAAAGCACATTTTATTTTGGGTGATCTGAGTGATGGATTATATTTGGCTTTCACAGTTGCTGGAATGGCATAAAAATAAAGAGATGCTTATGTTTTTGTCTGCCTTTTGTTATTGAATCTTTTTTGTACAAGTCTTATTTGCAACTGTTAGGTACACCTTACTAATCCTGGGTTTTCCTTCAGAGATAACTTAATTCTTTGGATTCAACGAGGTGCTGGAAACACTAATCAGAGATTTTAAACTGATAGCATCGCACGGTCACGCATCCATGGTGTGAATCACCCGTTTCACCACATATCAAAGGTGTTCTATTGGATTAGGAACTGGTGACTATTGAGGACATGCAAATCATGTTCAAGAAACCAGTTTGAGATGATTTGTGACACGGTGTGTTATTCTGCTTGAAGGAGGTGGTTCAAAGGGATGAAGATGATCACAAACCATATTCGGGTATGCTGTGGTGTTTGAATAGAAGAACCTTAATAGAAGAAAACATCTTCAACATCATTACGCCACCACCAGCAGCCTGAAGCTTTGATACGAGGCAGGATAGAGCCATGCTTTCATTCAAATGTGACGGCAGTAATCAAGACTCATCACATCTATTCAATACGATTTATTCATAGAGCGCCAAATCACAACAACAGTTGCCTCAAGGCACTTTATATTGTAAGGTAGACCTTACAATATTACATAAAGCACTGGTGAGCATCAGGTATGCTTTTAGAGTATTCTATTGACTAATTGTGATGAGTCTCTGCCAACTGTAGCATCAGTTTTCTGTTCTTAGCTGACAGTAGTGGCACCCAGAATGGTCTGCTGATATAGTCCATTTGCTTCAATGTGTGATTCAGAGATACCGGGGGTGTAATGAGTGGTTATTGGAGTTGCTATTGCCTTCTTTTCAGGTCAAAGCAGTCTGGCCATTCTCTGATATCACAATGCATTTCTACCCAGAGAATTGCTGCTCACTGGATAGTTTGTTTTTCAGACCATTCTCTAAACCCTAGAGATGGTGGTTTGGGGAAACTCCCAGATCAGCAGTTCCTGAAATACTCAGATGAGCCCATCAGTCACCAGCAAACATGCTACATTCAAAGTCACTTCAATGGCCTTTCTTCCCCGTTGTGATGCTCAGTTTGAACCTCAGAAGTGTTGTCCTGACCACATCAAAATTCCTAAATCCACTGAGTTGCTTGCAGTGATTGGCTGATTTGCAATAAGGAGCAGCTGAACAGGTGTACCTAATAACGGAGCAGATGAGTGAGTAAGTTGGTACTAAATCTAGAATCAGTTCCATGTACAGCCACAATAGAAGACACAAAATGGCTGGGCATACCTCGATGCTACAATAGAAAAAAAAGATTAACAGATTCAGCCTTCAAGTTCTCTTCTCCATCAACAGTCGAGTCGCTATACTTGTTGAAATATATGCTGATTCTCTAAAAGAACCAAGGTGGAACTGGCTCGGCACACCATCACTAAAAAAGACAGGGCTGTGATAGAAATCCAGTTTTCTTCGCGCCAAACCCTACACTGCGACAAAGTAATGAAAAGTTGGTTGTAAAGCTAAATGATTTTAAAAGATTTTTTCTTGACACGATGGACTAAATGTTTGATTATCAAAATTCCAGAAATACAAGAGGGAGAGACGAATCTCTACAGATATGATGATCATCTCTAAATAAAATCGTTTTGGCAAATCCTGTTGTTAACATATATAACCCCGGTACTTTTTAATTATATAATAAACTTTAATATGTTACATGAAAGACAGCACTTTGGGGGAATACATTTATCAAAATAAATATATATATATAGATATATGGAATACACTCCAATTATGTTGCCTTATTAGAGAAAAATACGCAACAAAATCATACAGGACTAGAAATTCACCAAAAGACTTTGCTATAGTTTTATATGATTCTGGCAAACTTTAAAGGAAACATATCATAATTTCCAGCCGCATAATATAACATTTTTGACTTAGCAAGAGTAGCTTCATATGATTCATAGTTCAAAATAATGCTTATTATTTTTATTTGGCATACTTGGCTTTAAAACAGACTATGGTTAAATTCAGGGGACTAAAGGTCAGCAGAAAAGCTCATGAGCAAAGCTTCGAGTGTTTAATTTTTCATTAAAAAAATAATGTTCATTAAACTTCACACTTTACCAAACTCACTCACACCCCACCTACTGTGACTCTATGCTCTACAGTCTGAGAAACACTGCTTTATTTTTCTGTTTATGCAAATATTTTATCACAGGCTGTGTTGAATATTTTGGCTGCCTGACCTTTGGGGACAAATTAAGTACACTCTGTTTTTCTGAATAGCTACAGGCCATAAACAGAAGCTTTGACAGGTGGGTTGGGTTTCTGTCCTCAGACCCATGAATGTCCGTGTGGCTGATGTGACCAAATTTGGAATATCTGCTCTCACTGACATCCTAAAGAAGCAGCAGGAAGAAAAAAGGACCTGAAACAGAGCATTTAACAGAGTCTGAAGCCTTCTCGCTCACATATGCTGACCACATGATTAGACTCTGATTAAGTTTGACATGAACATCCACCATTGCAAAAGTGTGTATATGTGTTTATGTACATGAAAAAAATCAGGTCCTATAGGACTGTAACAGGCACTCGATGCTTTTTGTGTCTGCCGTACGGCAATTTAATGGGATTAAAACACACAGCAAAAATATGGCACATTAAAGTCGCACAGAGGCAGAAATAGCGCATGTTTTGTGCAGTAAAATGAACATGTTTGTCTCAAAGTAACCAGTGTTTAATTAATCAGTTGTAATAGATAAGACAAGTGTCTATTTTAGTATATGTATCAGAAGTAAAGGAGAAACACTGATATTCCATCAGTGATTTTCTTAGGACATAACTATGAATTCACAAGCATCTCAGTATGTTCGCTGAATCTATCAGCAGCTGATATACAGTGCCAGTCAGAGGGGATCGGTGTGGAGGCGTTCGGCAACGTTCACGGCAGCAGAGCTTTGGATCTTTCTAACAGGAAACGAGGATAAATTAAGAGACATCGAAGAAATGCAGAGTGCAAATTCAGAACGTCCTGGATCGGGCTCTGATGGTTCTTTTCTCGGGTCTCTGATTGGCTACAGGTACATGCCATTAATGAGGTAATCTGACTCCTCTGTAGTGAGGGGACGCGCTTTCTTCAGTTTGTGGCGGACGAGCCTGAGACGACAGCTGATCATGAGCAGCAGCAGGGCGGTGATGATTAGGCCAAGTGCCAGAGGAAGGATGGCACCTGGAGAAAGAAATGCGCCCCATTCAGAAAAGGTCATCGGATAGAGAGGGAAGAGCCACAAAAAGCAGACAGAAGCTCTGGGTCTCACCTGACTCTGGGACTGGGTGTCCTCCCATGTCTAGAAATGGTTTGGAGATGGGGGCGTCACTCACTGCTTGGCTCTGGGTGGCTTTAGGGGAAGCTTAAAAAATAAAACCGCTTAGATGAGAAAACGGCTGACTCACAACACTGAATTATTGACATGTGTTTGATTCTTTGGATGAATATACCTATCTCAGTCTGCTTGGTGACTGGAGGAGCCACACTGGCAGGTCTGAAAGCTGGACCTAAAAGGTGTTCGTACATAATAAAGTCAATCTTACTACAAAATAAATCAATCAAAATGAATGTAAGGTGGGCTCTCACTTTTTTGTATGCATTCACTGACACAGTCCGACTCCTGGAGGAAGTTGTTGTGGTTTCCCTGGCAGCCTCCGTACAGGAAGTGTTTGCACTCTCCCACATTTTGGTCGTAGTACCACCGTGGGAAGGTGCCTTTACAGGGTCCCACAACTGGAGCAGCAGCACATGGGTCTAAAGGAACAAGACACGGCCTTTATATTTAACACATTTAAATGATTCTTGCACAGCAATGACACCTGTTCAGAGACAGTAGTAAAAAAGCAATATCCTCTTTAGTGGCCAGCATGGGGAAACTCCTCCGGCTGGCAGACGACTTCCAGTTGTGTAGAAGTCAGTGGTAACAGTCCTATGTGCCCTTGATCTGTGACCTCAGTAAACAATTTTATGGGTTATCAGTCACCAGCTTCAGATCATAATGAATACAACAAAATGAGTTTATTTTGGAATGTATGCTAATTATTAGAGACAGGAAGGCTAACAGTGGTGTCCTCAGTTTCACTGTGCTGATCCCTCATTTGTCACATCGAGTTGAAAAAAATCAACAGCTCAAAGTTGAACACTCAGGTCGAGGCAGGAAGATGAAGTACATATATAATACAGCCTTTCGTAGCTGGTGTTACAATTTTAATATCAAACTCTTCAACATTTGTCCTACAAATGGATTCAGGTAAATTGATTTTAGCATTGAATAATCAATATTAAATACTATTATGTAATAAAAGAGATACTGTTACAGTATTAAACATACTGCCATATTAATAGAATGGCACACCACTCGAATAACCCTGACTTTACATCTTTGGGTGAATTCGGCAACAGCGAAAATGACTGTATCTGACTATTTTCAGTGTATTTTCTACTTAAACAACTTAATACTAACATATTAATAATTAAGCATAGAGGGGCACTACTGCTGTTCACTGAGCCTCATCAGAAATGGTCTCAGTGCTAAGGTGGCTGTGAAGAAGCCATTCTTAAGGAAGGGAAACAGGGAGAAAAGGCTGATGTCTCCCATATTACACAGGAACTGGGTCAGTGGCAACATTTCTGATGGAGTGATAAATCCAAAATGAAAGTATTTAGATTCAGTCTTTTTACTGCCAATTCAATAAAAGCGTAGCTTGACAGAAAAACACACAATGGAACACCATCAGTCATGACTTGGTCTTCACAGTGCCCAGACCTCAACATCATTGAAGCAGCGTGGGATTATCTTGACAGAGAACAGAACAAAAGAGGGTCAACATCCAAAAAACAGCTTTGGATGTCCTTCATGAAGCTTAGAGAACTACTCCTGAAGACTATTAACAGAAATTACAATAAAGTTTATCTAAGGGAGTTTGAGCTGTGTAGAAGAATAAAGGTACGAACTCTGTTTTGCTTTATATACTGTATTTCCATGTGTGCATGCATT